TTTCCTCCACTTCCATCCAGGCGCGCTCTGACTCTTTTTTTTATTTATTTTCACAGCTTTCGTTTCGCTCACTAAGTAAACGCTCCCGTAAATTCCCGCACAATTTTTAGGCTCGTTGCGCGAAATAAGATTCGTATCATCACAACGTGACCTAACGACACATGTATCCATAATCACCATAAAACCGGAATTCTTTCAGAACTGTCCTCACGCCTGTCAATTTTCCTGTCTCAAACAGGAAAAAGTCAAAAACGATGCACAGAAGACGCAGAAGAAGAACGAATACACGTTCATTATTCCGAACGACACATTGAAAACTCACGTGACAACCGAAATGGTAAGGAGTTAGAATTTTGTAAGGTAATGAACAGCATGTATCGCGGGAATCAATGAATTGCGAGTCGAACCCGCTTCACGCTCCAATTTTGCTAATAAGTTAGTTGAAAGGTAGAGCCTTTGTTGGCACGGTGGAGTCTAATAGTGCAAGACCTCATCTTTGGTCACCGTTTTTTTACAAGCTCTAAAATTTTCCTGGAATTCCGGAGGGTTCCGCTCTAGACGTCCCTTCCAGGGCTCCGCGAGGAAGAGGGGGAGGGACAGGGGGCAGGGTGAATAACGGTCGAGGAATTCCTCGACCATAGCTCTCTACTGTGCGAGAGTAGTGCCGAGAGTGAACATCGCGCGGAGAGCACAGACGGCTCGCGCATGGCGAGTGTGAATGTCCGCGCGGGAGATCGTAACTGATCAGGCGAGAATCCTCGACGTGCCGTTGAGGAATCCTCGACCGATATTCACCCTGAGGGGAGGGGGTGGGGTGAGAATAAATGTTGATAATACATAATCTCACAAATATCCGTCTATTCAGCATTTTCTTCTACCACCACGAATCGTCATCTTGAACTTACAAATCCGACCCCTTCCATCGACTTCCCAAATTGGATGGTTGACCCTGGCCATAGCTTCTAAGGGGCGTATACCATTGTCTATCCATCTATGGGCATCCCCTGGCTGCCTTTTCAGACGATCACGCCCACTGTCCTTTAAAGCAACAGTCCAGGCAGGGTTTCAACTACTTGGTCATTAGGCGGTCAAAACATGCCCCAGCCCAACTAAAGTTTATAGGAAATGTCTTTAATTTCAAAACCTACCTCTAAAATGCGCTGGAAGGGGTCGAAGTCCTCTTGGAGGGGGCGGATCACCCATAAAGAGGCGGATCGCCCAACATTCGCTGTGCAGAGCGCTTGCTCGACTAGCGGTCGTTGCGGGACCGCCGCGCTGTATGAGGTCGATTCCATAAGAACGCAATTGAAGCGCTTCAATTTCGATTGCTGGCAAATAGTTATGTATTTGCAAGCATGCAGCTATTTGCCAGCAGTTGCAATTGGAGCGCATGTACTACGGGCAGGTTCGGACAACTCGTCCAACACACGTCTCCCTAAACGGCAGGGGGAGTCCCTGTCTAAGCCCCTGCCCGACGTTTTTTTTTCTACTTTCTTTCTCCATTGACCAACTTCTCACCTGCAACGTCATTATAGGTGGTCCTTACCCGCGAATTCGTTCCTGGATTGTTGCTTTAAGCACGATACGATTAAATTCAAGAAGTATTAGTGTGGACGTGTGGTGCCCAATGGACGATGGAGCCTAAAAAAACCAGAAAAATCCGTATAGCATACATTAAACGTACCCTTATTGGTCTCAGAAGCGGACGTATGAACGAGTTCACCGCAACGCGTTTGATGGCACCATGCCAAACGCTTCAATCGAGATGCTCCATTTGCGCCGCTGCTGCCACGCAGCTCGTCCAAATCAACAAGTAAACTAGTGGGCGGATCGCTTTTGGGGGCGGAGCGCTTTCGAAGTCCTGCTCAGCAACCAGCGCACCTTTCGTTGTGAAAGCGCCACATCTCGCTTGGCAGCCAAGTAACTGATTCGTGTGGTGCACATGCTTCCCCGATGCGCTCCCTCTTTATCGTAATCGCTTTCTTTAAGGTGAAGACAGTGCGCGATTCACAGAAAAGCTGACCAAATTGTCGTGGATAAAATTATAAAGAGATCAGTTGTATTGCTACTACTCTCCTAGCTCAGCCTTGGAATTTAATCCGATCATGATTTCCAAAAATGGTCCATCTCTAATGCACAGCTGCAGTTTGATCTTCTCATTTCAACGACGTACCTAATAAGATCTAATTTCTTGGAATGCATGAAATGCACGAATTATTCTACTGGTCACGAAATTCGCTAACTGCAGTCTTTTCAGACTCCTATGTTACCGCTGCTACCGTACAACTCACCACCACCGACAATTATTCAGAGTGTTTCACCTCAAACTCCAAAGGTAATTTGAAACAGTAACGTTTCCGCAACCAACGTTACCGAGCGCCACGCTGGAGTGCTATAGCTCAAATAATCGGTATGAAACGGAAATTTCAGCGAGAATCCGAGATTCAGTCAAAGGACTGGGCTATTTAGAAGAATGCAGTGTGTGATTAAGGTAGGAATTGGCCGCAAGCGCAGAGTGTGAACCTAATCCGCAACTCGAAATTGTATGGTGAAGTCGCTGTGCTAGTTATCAATGCTGCACTTTCCCTATAAAATAATTAGGTAAAATTTCTTGAATGAGCTTCTGGTACCCTTTCCTCGAAGGCGAGCCCGGGGATAAAATTGGTGCTAAGAGCGCTTCGTAGTGATAGCTTAGCTGCGGAACGACCTGAAAGTGGAAGGAAAGCAAGAGAAATCTTTGGGAACGCTGAAATTAAGGCCTTAACCTTCAATAAGGTCGGATGTGGTACGATGGCGAGACAGGGCGATCAAAGAAGACAAAACACGCGAGAGAGCACGCTCGTTTGAGACAGGCGATCGAGGAAGACAAAACATGCTAGAGAGCACGCTGTTCGAGAGAGCGCATTGATCTCCCCACCAGTCGCTATGGGTGGGGAGCGTTGCAACTGGGATCAGTGCTTGCACGCCCGTAACGTTTAGCCTTGAAATAAAATTTATAAGTTGAGTGAGCTCTTAAATTCTTTCCTCAACAGAAATTTGGATGCGTTAGCTTCGTTCAAAAGTGCTTTGGACTCACTCTGATGTTGTATTTTGAGGGGGTGTCCCCCAAGAGGCCCGTCGCGCGGCGAAGATGCGGCAAAGGACGAGTCGCAGCGCATACTGTAGCGGTTAGGCGTCAGGTTAAATAGAGTGTACCATACTACGTCTCATATCGCACAGCACGCGCTGCGACTCGTCCTTTGCCGCATCTGCGTCTCTTCCTTCTCTTTAGGTCCACAATGCAGTGGCGAATGGATACGGTAGCATTCACGTACGGCGACAAAAGCGTCGCATTTGGTAGGTACCGTATCCACTCAAATTCGGATACATCCATATGTAACTGGTAGAATAAAATATCTTACTATCAGATGAGCGTTTTTGACGAACTTCTCCTTTTTCGTCTTTTTATCTAGTCCATTTGCTTTCCTTCGAAATTCATGAAGCTATGCCTGATATTTCTGGACAACGTGCCTGTCGCTCCGCGTGGATCTCCTGACCCATACCTCGTTAAGTGTACTCCTACAATGTTTTCCTCATCTTCTATCAAGCAGTTTTTTCTTTTGATGCCGATGCTAGAATGTCTTACAGTGAAGCATAGATTGTGATCTAACTGTTTTCGTTTTTGAAGTCAAATTTTTCAAGGTTTGCGAAAAAGAGTGCATGCCGGATTGTTCTGTGTCCTGTGTCGCGCTACGGCCAGCACTGCAGTTGCTCAATAACCTGATGGAAACCAGATCAACGAATCCTCTAGAGTGCCTAAAAGCATGTACGGAGACATGCGAAAATGCTTGCTTGTAAGTACAATCATTTTTATCTTGCTGTGATTAAATATGGCTATAGATTTAACGGGCAATGGAAGGATTGCTGGTAAGCACGCTGATTCCCACTTTATGGAGTCCTTGATGGGATGAAACAGACGCTGTACAATTCAGTGTTTTTTCCTCCCAGGCAAGTCTGGCACCTTAAAGCCTTATTGGCGGGGGCAGGATTTGACCCGAAATTCGACCGCTGAACCGTGCTGTGCGCGTGAAGGTAAGGTGTTGTTGGGAGACGTAGTGGCTAAAGAAAAGGGAGTTTTCTCCCTTGTTTTCTGACCTTTTGTAGATGTTTTCGGGTAGCACGATATTTTCCACTTATAGAGCAGCAGGAATTGCTTTAACTGAGTGTCGGGCCACATGTGGTTCAACTTGTGAACAAACATGCCGAAAGCCTCAACAGGAATGCGTGGCTCCTTGTATGCCATCATGCCGACCGGAATGTGTGGAGGTAGTTTTCGTGATTATAATTATATAATAGACTAGCTTTGCACGCATGTTTTCATAAGACAACAATTTTCTTTCTTTTTTCTCTTCTTTTTCATTCTTTTATGTTTCTTAATAAGAAAACTGGGTTTCAATAGAAAATGGGGAGAAACTAGTGGGTGGCTGAGGAGCCGTGAGCTAACTCTATGGAGAATATTAAAATTTATTCAAGGAAGTTGAGCGATTTCGAGTCTCGGAAAACCTACGACCACCGGTCACAATGTATCCTGTAGTGAGTGGACCAATGTTGGAAGTGAACTCTACGACGCCAACAAAACCGCAATCACAGTGCGATCACGAGTGTGCGGTAAGTTTTGCGTGTCTGTGCATGAAGGATCTGTTTGTCAAAATATGTTGAAAGGAGTTCAGAGAAGAATGGACAAGGGTAAAAATGGAGTTGGAGGGAGCCGCTTCATTGTCTGCGGTTCAACGATAAGGAACAAGATAAAAACATTGATAACGCTAGCGAAAAAGCTTCGATAACGCTTCGTTTCAAAATTAGCTTTTCAATGAGTACCGGCCGAATCGGCCTGGAATGGCACGGAGAAGCGGACTTGAGCCGAAAGCCGGATATCTTGGCCTAGGTCTAGGGAGAGGGGTAGGGCGAGGGTAGGTGTTCCACAGTTCGTGGACCACTGAAAATGTGCGAAAATGGATTGGATGTTGGTGATGTAGGTCATTCACTGGTTCTTATCTATAAGTTGCTTCAAGTAAGCGTGTTGTCAAATTTCTTATGCTTGCCGCTAGGTATTCCTTAGCCTTATCCTGATTCTCATTGTTAGAGCCGCAGTGCGGAATAAAATAGCCCTCTGCAACTCCATTTTCACCATGGACAAGTTATTTGGAAGTAGCTCCATAAACAACGGGCATTCGTTCCTGAAGGGGCGGCGTAAGTCGCTGTGCGCGCTAAAGGCGCTGTCAGGGATGTCGCGCCTTGGCGTAGTTCTTCGGTAGAACTCCCCGTTAGGCAGAAACGCTCTAACCTCCTTGAGGCCTGAATAACTGAATATGGGTTTCACAGCAAAGATTTATCAATTTTTTTATAGGCTGAGAATTTTCTGAGAATTGGCCCTCGCTATTGCCGGAAGAACTGTTTCTTATCAAACCTTATCAAACCTTCGCTATCGAATTTGAGTGGTTTTAAGATAACGAAAATGATGAGTTGATCAAGTATGCATATCAAGTCGTATCACTGTGCAGTTAGATGCCAGAATAGATTCTGGCAAGCGAGCTTTTGAAGGTCGCACATAGCAGCGCTGGCACGATCTGCTGCATATGAACTTGAAGGTGGTTGGCATCTACCGCGTTCGACACGAACTGCAAAAGATGGCATCAGCATGCCCGTGGTGTTGACTTCATCATCAACGGATAAATGCTAGTGGAATGAAGAGGACGAGGGAAAAAGGCGACGACACACCTTCACCCCACCTTTTGAACGAAGACGAGTACATTGGAGAATCCGGAATTAAATGGTTAAGTTTGAATACCTTATTTGATGCGCCTTGAAGCACCTGCACAGCGAGGCATCAATGTATATCCGTTGCTCTTGTTAACATTTCAGAGGACTCCTAGACATTATTACTCGTCTGTTTGTTATTTTGGTCTATTTTGAAGTGTCCTTTAAAATTGTTTCCTACGCTCGCCTCATCTCAAAGCAGAAGCATCCCAAATACTGCTCTATTCTGCATTAGGGAACAGGTTTCCATCGCTTTGAGTCTTTCCCTATCCAGAAGATTAGCATTGTTCCAGCGCTGCAAAAAGACATTTGAATAAGGATTTCATTTGGCGAGGAGAATCGTGGTTTCTTCTGAATTGTGTTCATTTGCAGTGGGCAGCGCTCTTTCGGTTATTCAGCGCCAAATGCATGATATTGGATTAAATCGATCATCCGAAAGCCGGTTTCATTGGAGCGAAAAGTTCCTTTTAGTAAGACGGGCCACACTTGGCCAATAAGCATTGTGGTGCCCATTTGGTCTGATCACCACATAATCGGGCGCGCAATGTACTCGTATAGTCACATAGCTTTCGCCATAATCGTATGGCAGAGGCTTGAAGCGAGGGCTTGTCGTTTCAGGTCTGTCATTAAACTTTTGGATCAGAAATATCCTAGTTCAGAAGTGAATCCAAAGTTCCGAATATCAAATATAGCATGGACCTGAGAACCTCACGGGATTCAAAGCACATTTTCCATTTTCATATTATTTTTCTCGTAAATGCAAGTGGAGAAGGAGCTGGAGGGAAAGAGACGAAATCCGAAGACTAAGCTAGAGCAGAGAATCCAGCGGAAAGGATCAGTGTGAAAAAAGGAGCAGCTCAAGGAAAAGTCCAATGATTACATAGAACTGAACCTTTTTTGCTTAAAAGCGCGCTGGCACTGGTACTCGTTGCTTATAAAACGACAGTCAATAAACTATGCTGATATTCTTGTTCAATGTTTTGTACTGTACGCCACACGACGGTTTTTAAGCATGAAATCATTTTTTTACTGCCTACGATTCGCCCTGTATAAGGTTACTTCTTTAAGTTACTTCTTCATCACTGAGTGCTCGGAAGTGTTCTCGACGCTCTATGACGTCGAGAATACTAAAATCGGTTGATCGAGTAGCTTACAAATCAAAAAGCTTCAGACAATCTCCAGGCCTCTGAAGAAGACGAAGCGGTCGAAACGTAAGGCCAGTAAATAAAGATTCCATCTTAAAAACCTCGTTGTGGCGTACAGAACAAAAACAATACTTCTGCAATTCTTCTTCTTCTTCTTATTCTTCAGCGTTTGTCCCGCTTGTTGGCGGGGTCCGCTTTTCTGATGTGCTGTCGCCCACTTTTCCCGATTAAATGCTTGGTCGGGGTGGATGTTAACCAACTTCAAGTCTGCGTGCAACGTATCGAGCCAGCGCTGTTTCGGGCGCCCCTTGGGCCGCTTTCCGTGCACGTCTATGTTGAGGCCGATCTTGCGAACACTGTCATCATTTCGCGCGAAGAACGTGGCCAAACCAACGAAGCCGAGCTTCGCGCATTTTATCAGCAATGGGAGCTACACCAAAGCGTTCTCGTATGACATCGTTCCGGACGCGATCTAATCGCGTGACACCAGCCGTCCAGCGCAGCATCTTCGTCTCCATTACACCGAGGCGAGTTTCAGTGTCCCTGGTCTTGCTAAAAACAATTCCATTTACTCTCAAACATCAATGCCAGGAGGTTGTCAAACAAAGACGACATGGAGACTACTATGCTGATATGTTGTCAGTGAAACCCAAAAATCTCTTCTTCCAAGATGGCTGAAATGCTTAGGAGAGAGGCATTCTAAAGGGTGACGTTTAGTTCTCCCCTAGGTAAAGGTCCGTGTTAGGCTGCTGCGGGTCTCGAAATCTACAGCCCTAGCTTAGATTTAGGCCTTACCAAGGAAGGCATACAAGTTCTCCATGGAACTTGGAATCAAGACCTAGACATATCGATAGAGCTTCAAGCGCTGATTGCAAATATGGAAGTTGAATTTGCCAAATGATCCTGCCGAGGAAGTTGTTAGAGTCAAAGTCAGTGGGAAGTAAAGCGTCACCTATGAATCGTACTAGCACTCAACACTCAGAGTCGTCGTAGAGGGGTGGTAGCGCTCTCACTCTCAATGCCGGTAGTCACGCAGTTCTTCATCCTGTTTGGACTCAATTTTTGAGAGCACTATAGCCACTCCGCTGTGCTCCATAGATGTATCTAGGTCTTAATTCAAAGTTCCATAGGAAGTTGAATATCTCACCCGGTTGGGCTTATGCTTACACACTAACTTAAGCTTGAGCCTACAACGGTCTAGGCTTAGTCCTAGGCTTTCTTCGAGCAAATGAGTGGTGTCTTAATCGTAGGTAACCTGAAGTGAGGAGGAGAACTGAGAAACACGGCGAAAGAGTATGACGGACATGTGAGAACGCAGACACCACGCCGCGTAAACCAGCAATTTACGCTAGTCACGGGATGCTCCAGTTAGCTACCTGCTTCTTTTCACGAAAAGTAGAGCGTGGGCTTTTTCGTACACCCAGTATAAGGTAGAGTATTCACGTTAGGACTATGATCATACCTCTGAGGGCCAGAGGCAAGTATAAGTGGCAGCGAGGACGATACACGACGATAAAAACACTATTAGGAGATGGGCTTTGTGCAACAAAGCCTTGCTTCAGAATTGGCGTACATTCTTGCCACCGCGAATCTGAATGCTTGTCGCTTGCAAGCCGTCAGAATCCAACATCGTGAAGGCAACTGCAGGGAGTTGAGTGTGTGGCGCATAACAACCGGATCGCCTTAGATTG